GGGACGGCAGAGGACGAGATGGTTAGATAGCATCACTGAAGCAATGAGCATGAAACTGAGCAAACTCAGGGAGGCAGTGAAGGACAGGAAGGCCTGATGCAATATGATTCATGGGGTCACGAAGAGTCAGACATGACAACGACTGAACAACAACAACGTCTCCCCCAAATGGAGAAATCTCATTTACTTTAAAGCAAAAGGCATACACAATAATTTAATTTGGTCTTTGGCTGTAAATTCATTTAAAAATGAACAAGTACTTATTTCAAATAATATAAATCCTCTCTGGGTCTCTTTCTAAGAATTAACAGCAAATCAATCAAGCAATTGAAACAATCTCAATTCATAAAGTCATCCTTCATAGCCCAGAACCTTCTCTATATGTCCGGGCTCTGTTAATTCTATTCCTGTGCGATTGATACAAGTGAGATGCTGTGCTGAATCCATCTATTAGTAAAGGCGCATGCCATAAACAACATAGCACTGTAGTGGGAGAGATTTCTTGTTCTCTTACAGAGACCACACAAAACAACCTTTCAGAATATTAAAAATATATTGGATTATCCTCTGTTGTATTCAGGCTCACCCACTGATGAACTGGGGAGAGAGCTGTAAATTTATCACTTGTCTATATGGACCAAAAACCACTCTCAACAACAATGACCCACTTAATACACTATTTTCTTTGGAAAACAACCCTTCAGGAGGGAAGAAATGCTGGTGAAGCTGGTTTTGAACTTATGGCTTTTGAAACACACAAACAAAAGTAGGGAAAAGGGTGAGATGCCTCATTTATCCCTTGTATTAAATATTAGAATTTTCAGAAGGAAAAAAGGTTCCCAACTTGAAAAAGGCTATAGGGTTACCGTGATGTGCGTTTTCACATAATATACAGTTGGGTCTTAAACGAAAGAGTCTGTGAGTTGCATGTTTTAAAATGTATATTGTTAGAGAGTTTTCATTTTAATTAAATGTTATCATTAGCATAATTGATAAATGCATATCTTCTTCCAAGCTGAGGCCAAGAAGCACATTAGAATTGTAGCTTGTGAATCTGCCCATCGGGGCCAAGTTCTACTTAAAGTAGGAGGAAAGCTCCTACCTAAATGTGCAGAAGAGTTTTCTGTTAACTGAGCACATTGGATTTCTGGGTGTTCCTTTGGTCCCTCTATTTCCTGACTTTCTCAGGTTTACAAAATTGAATGGGTATGAGTATTTTCTTCTCGTAAGATTCACAGAGGAGTTAGGCTAGTACAAATATGCAAGTTTGAAGTTTCTCAGAAGATTTAACTAATTTGTTTTTGGACGCTTATTAGGGCAGTATGGTGACATCTCAGAACTCACATAGCCCTGCCCTATGTTGGGATATTCAAATTAAAAAAGAAAAAGTTGTCAATAAAATTGAAAAAGTGAAGGTGCTACTGAGATTCAGTTATAGGTATTTAGGCTTGATAGTGAGTTACATGCCTGATATCCTGGAGCAGCATAGGGCTGTCAAAGGGAAAGTCCTAGAGGCTGTAAATTTCATTAGTGTGGGATGTTAGATGCAAAAATTGAAAAAATGTCAATCTGTTCAAGTTTCTATCAAAAAGGCAACTTTATAAGTCTCCTGGGATAGCAGGGTGTCTTGGAACTCTTTCAGATGAACACTATGCACATATTATTTTAATTCCCCTTCCAGCAATATAGTGATTTGAATCATATGTTAACTTAAAATAGTGAAACATTTTATGAGAAGGAGTTATAGTGCTCTTTCAAAGTCATGCTTTGTAAAGCAGGTAATATTCAATTCCCATTTTCCCCCAAAGAAGAACCCTATTTTCTTTTCTTTTACAGATCTGGATATAGAACAGAAAGGTGAAGAGCTTCTTTTTGCAGTAGAGACACAAATCAAGAAATTCAGTTGGGGAATTCCCAAGTAAAGGCAAATGGGATACCCCAGGAAAAGAGCAGTGGAGATTAAAAAAAAAAAAAATCCTTAATTTGATGAAGAGGAGCCCTCACTGAACATTGGCTTACTGTAATATACCTTCATTTCACTTAGGGGAGGCAGCTACAGAAAAGAGAATATAGCATAAATTAGCTTGAATTCAGTGTCTGATTTTTTTTCCTCTGACACTTTCTTAATTGGAGTCAGCAGGAGGTGCTGTTGTGCTAGGAAAAAGACAAAGTTGCAGGTATAGTTCATTTTGGAGCACAGCAGGTCAGGTGGAAGCAAAGGGACAGAACCCTAATCAGATTGTCAATATCATACATAAAATGACATCATCTCCTCTAACTACACAGCTGGGAATGAAAAAGCAATAGCAGGATAGGCACAAGAACCACTTCATTGTGAATGATGAGCAGAATTAATTGTTACCAAAAAGCAAAGTTGCTTCATCTACTAAACTCCACTTTGTACTGAAGGCTGACCAAGGATAAGCTAAGAGTATTATTCATATTGATTGCTCTCTAAGCCAAGAAATAGGGAATCTTCAGTCTGATTGCTGAGGTTTTATCCTTAAGCAGATTTCAAACTAACCACTCCAGAACCCTGGCAGGAAATCTGCTTCATTCATGAAGTGCCATTATGAGAAAGCCACTAGCATCATCATGAGTAAGTCACTAGCATCCATTAAGGATAGGATGTGACCACATCAGCCTTTACACAACCATCCACTGTATGCGGGCCAAGAAGCATCAGTTAGAACTGGTCACGGAACAACCGATTGGTTCAAAATAGGGAAAGGAGTACGACAAGGCTGTATACTGTCACCCTGC